AGAGAGGATGATGGGAGGTCTAAAGGGCATTTTGGTCCGTAACTTCAATCAATAAGTAGGTGACAAATGAGGGACGTTGCTTTTGAGTTTTGCCGGAGGAGTCAAAGTTAGCTTATCTGAGTTCTGGTGGGTCAGTGTGGTAATGGCTTTCGTGCTTGGTGGGTGTCGGCGCAGGAGTTTGGAGTTGTGGAGTAAGCTAAGCATTTTGCTAGTTGTTGGAATCGAGTGATTTTGCTTTAGCCACGTGGTGACTTCTTGTATGATTATGTAGCTTGGCAGTGTATTTTCAAGTGGAATGCTACGGTATGAGAATTATTGTTTCAGTTTATCAGATTCAATTGATAGTGAATTTTTGGAAGTAAAATATGACACAGGGTGACGGAGATTTTTTCTTCAAAAATGAAAGGGAGGCTTTCCATGATTAATAGATTTATTGCCATCGGGTGTGGATTATTTTTTGGTGGATTTGTCTTCTTCTTTCTTTCAAACGTGAGCCAAATCGCTTTTTTATTCCTGCCTTCTATTGGTAGGTTTGATCATGTCCGCATGCTTTATGTTATGTTATGATTGATTATTAGACAGCTCTGTTGCAGTGTCCTGGATGATTGCATGGGTGTTGGGAATGATGTGTTGGGTGAATGTGTATGTTAGCTGGTGCCAGCATAGATGTTCAGGGGCATCATCTTCACCGTAATCTCTTCTTTCCCTTTGAGCTTGTGCGCTTCAGAGCCCGAAGGCCACTCAATATTAAGAGAATCTTGCGTCTGGAGGTAGACTACAACCAGAGCAGTAGTCATGCTGTAGTTAATAAATAACATGAAATAAATGAATATATTATAGACATGTTATACACACAGAAGTACATCATGTGGGTTTTTTTCCAGGTAGCCGATGTGGAGAAAATCCTAGGTGTTGTATACACTGAAAATATTCAGGTTACTGCTGAAGCCTATGACGTGGACCTGGAAATCAGTCCAGGTACAAATGAAACAGCTTTTCGTTTAAATGTGAAAGTGAATTTGGGCCTTTTATTGATTTAAATGCAGTAAACAATCCGATTTTGACCATTTTGAACCTGCACTTCCATTCTCCACATTTTATGCAAAAGAAGGAGTCACATAAAAATGATATTTAAGTTGAAAAAATGTAACAAGGATGTTACAGTAACTGAAAATCCATCATACAGACATTGTTATATACATTTATATTTCCTTAAATAATGAAAATTAAGTAGAGCTGCCTTTTTATCATGAGGAAATATTTTTGTCACAGAGAACCGGCATCTAACGCAGCTAAGGACCATTAACAGATAGCACTGCAAAATGACTGACTGAGTGGGTGGCAGGATATAATAACCACCAATAATGTACTACATGCTCATGTTTCTATGTCAGATGGCTGTCTTAATTTTGGAACCATCAGAGTCTTTGAGGATGTCAGACTGTCTCTCAGATTGAAAAACCAAGGAAAATATGAAGTATCTTACAAGTGAGTTTAAACTGATAGTTTTTGCAATATTTTATTCATATAAAGGTTTTCATGGAACGGTCATTTAATTTTATTGTTCTCTTATCACAAGGTTTAATGTTGAGCAGACAGACCCAGCGCAGCCAGATCTAAACTCCATTTTCAAAGTGTCTCCTCAGTGTGGTAGTCTGATGCCCAACAAGCCCGCAACAGTGAACATCCTCTTCAAACCTGATGTGGAAGTGTTCATTAAAGACCAACCTATCCTGCCTTGCCAGGTTCGATCCATAAAAAGTAAAAACTTTATTTAAAAGATTTAAATAAGTGATAGCTGACATTGAGTGAGCTAATCTTTTGTAGGTGATTGAACCGAGCATTGGGACAGGAGGAGAAACTGTAGCTATCGTGGCGATCAGGGTTTCAGCCCGATCTGTTTTCACCAGGTGAAGGCCGATTCATGCTCTCACTAATTCTGCACTATTAATATATTATTTATTAATAGTGCAGAAACATTATTGTATTATCGTATTATAGTATAGAATTTGAAAAACTGTGTTTCTTTCATCTCATTTCCAGCCTCTTATTTTGCTCATATGAAGCAGCTTAGTAGTTGTTTTTTTGTTTTTGGTGTTTTATGTTCGTCTCTCTTCAGGTACAAGATCACACCTTCATCCAACTTGAACTTTGGTCCTCTGATCTATGGCAACAAGAAAAGCCAAAGCTTCACCATCGAAAACAATGGGGTCTTTGAGGCCTCTTTCACCATCTGCCACATGATCACAGATCCCGTGAGGACAGGGTAGGCCAACAGAACACACAAAAACAACACATCCAGCACATGTTATTTTAAAGATATTTTATTTGCTCCACAATTTTTAGTTTTAGTTTTCACAAAACAAAATTTTGTAACATTTATTGTTAATAAATTGTGTATTTTTTTCTCTTTACATTCTGGTCTCAGGGGTCCAGGTAAGACTATATCAAGAGAGACCCTTTCAGGGAGGCCCAATGCTGCCAAAATACCACCAGAATCCTTTCAGAGTTTTCTTCAGGTGAGAGAACACTGGTGAATTTCACACCAGTGACAGTGCCTGATAGATGGTCCTGTTTG